AAAAAAAACTGTTTAAATAAGCACTTGAATCCTATCAGCTGAAGTAATAAAGAAATTCCTTTTGGTGTGTGTGTAGTACTAGGTGGAAGGTAAAACCACAATTCTGTTTAAGGAGTCAACTTCTGTAATTCTAATTTGATCAAATGAGACTGTTGTATTATTTGTACATAATAAGAATGTTATATATTTTTACAGTATATGATTTACTTTCTTCTTTTCCCTCAAAACCTATGATTGAAGGAGACCTTTAAATTATTTTGAAATTCACAGAGCATAATTTATGACAAACTGCTTTGTGGGAAAAAGCAGCCCCTCTGAAAATAAGAGGTCAAAGTAATCATGTGCAAATAAAAGTTCAAAATAAGGTAGCTGTAAATACAGCCATCTTAGAAGTTTCCCTTCGTTTGTATCTATTTAGCAATATAAATAATTTCAGTGGCCCAAACAGTAATTTTAACTTCGGTTTTTCTCCTCCATGATGTGTTTACTCTTAACAAGTAAGAGTAACTTTTTAGCATATGGTGTTACAGACCATATGCTAACAAACTTAAAGGTTCATAAAATTAAAATTTATGATTCATATATAGTTATACTATGTATGTCAGATATAGAAGGCTGAACATAAGTAATTTCAACCTAGAATATTATTTGAACGTCACAAAAGAAGAAAAAAGACAAAAAACAAAGATTTCTCCTCGCGTAACTTTTGACTACTAGACTAGTCATAGCAAAAAAAGGCAAAATATAAAATATGTAGTTTTTAGCTCAAAGTGAGTTATCCCAAAATAGAATTCACTAAATGAGACAAGACATCAGGGTTATGAGTATGGGGTACGCGGATTCATTCAAGTCAGATGAGGAGACACTTTGGGGGAAAAGAAATCCATCCCAAACAATATAATTTTTATCTCATTAACCCTCTAAACAGCACAACTTTACCGTTTATCCCGTAAGCCTTCTCGACAGTTCTCATTTTCCTCTTCTCTAAAAAGATGTTCTAGCCTCTCAATTTCCGAGTGTCAGGTCAAACCCCTTGCTTTACCCTAACTCCATACTCCTCATTTATAAAAGACCTTAAAATAATCATTTTCTTCCCCTAAGGAGTTAGAAACCACCAGGTAATAATTCAAAATTGAGAAATTAAAGGTTAAAAAATCAACTGAAAATACACTTATTAACATTTGTGGTTTTATGTAGTAGGGACACCACATAATTACTCATTCCGATTAACCTCTTGGGACAGTGAGGTCAGAAAACTGAAATGAGTAACAGATGCTTAAAATGCTTGAAGTGTGGTCTATCTTGAGTAGGATGAGTTAAAAAGGTGACTGAAATGATATGATTCTAAGTGTTGACTGTAAAACAGTACAAAATTGATGGTGCCAAATAGAATACAAAGAAAAACCTTTAACTTATATTAAATATCGTCCATAATTTGGAAAAAGTCTCAAGGCTGAATTGTAACTGGAGAACAACAGCCACAACAGAAGACCCTTTCATGCATGCACACACATGAAATAACAGATAGGCAAACCCCAACTGAGTACAGTACACCGACGACTGATACTTAAATGATATTTTGATATGTAAAGAAAAAGGTAAAATGTTGACTGCTACTGATGAAAAAGCATTTCAACAATTTACACAAAATGATACTAAACATTTTTTTTAAAAAGATGTCCTAAGAAAACCAAGCCACAATAAGTTAGTGTTTTCCATAATACATGCTGAATTATTTGATCCCATATCTATACACTGTTATTGTCTTAATTCCTAAATGTTGTGACAGCATATTTAGTAATTGAGGTACATTAGTTTACATCTTTTTATAGATATTCTAAGAGAGTTAATTTTTCTTTTCCAGTTTTTCATCTTCTTCACCTCCTCCAAAGAAAAGCAAAGGAAACATTCCTAGAATGCAGCCAATAGTCACCCCAACAGCTTTGCCCTAAGGAAACAAAAGAAAACATTTTTTGAAAGTTATTTTATCCCTAAAAGAAGAATCCTTGCCTACGTATCTATGATAAACAATTACTATGTATTATAAAATTCAACTGTAATTGCATTTCTTTTGACCACATAAAAATAAGCAACATATGGGGCGCCTGGGTGACTCTGTCAGTTGAGCGTCTGACTTGATTTCAGCTCAGGTCATGATCTTGAGGTTCATAAGATCAAGCCCCACATCGGGCTCTGCGCTGACAGCTGGAGCCTGCTGGGGAATTCTCTCTTCCCCCCTCTCTCTCTGCCTGTCCCCCGCTTATGCTTTCTCTCAAAATAAATAAACATTTTTTAAAAAGTAAGCCACATATGACAAAGGAGGTGAGAATACACAATGAGGAAAAGACGGTCTCATAAATGGTGCTGGGAAAGCTGGTCAGCTGCATGCAAAAGAAAGAAACTGGATCAATTTCTTACACCATACACAAAAATAAACTCAAAATGGATTAAAGACCTAAGTGTAAGACCTGAAACCATAAAAATCCTAAAAGAAAACACAGGCAGAAATCTCTTAGACATCAGTCTCAGCAACATTTTTCTGGATCTGTCTCCTCAGACAAGAAAAAACAAACAGAAAAATATACAATTAGAAACTACTTCAAACTAAGAAGATTTTGCACAGCAAAAGAAACCATCAACAAATGGGAAAACAATCTACTGAATGGGAGAAAATATCTACAAATGATATAACCAATGAGGGGTTAATATTCAAAATATATAAAGAACTACAACCTAACACCAAAAAACCCAAAATGATTTAAAAATGGGCAAAGGACCCGGAATAGACAATTCTCCAAAGAAGACATACAGATGGCTGACACGTGAAAAGCTGCTCAATACTACTAATCATCAGGGAAACGCAAATCAAAACCACAATGAGATATCATCTCACAACTGTCAGAATGGCTGAAATCAAAACCACCAGAAACAAGCATTGATAAAGATGTGGAGAAAAAGGAACCCTCCTGCACTTCTGTAGGAATGCAAACTAGTGCAACCACTCTGGAAAAAAGTATGGAGGTTCCTCGAAAAATTAAAAACAGAACTATCATATGATCCAGTAATCACACTACTAGGTATTTACCCAAAGAATGCAAAAACACTAATTTGAAAGAATATATGCACCCCTATGTTTAATGCAACATTATTTATAATAGCGAAACTATGGAAGCAGCCCAAGTGTCCACTGATAGATGAATGGATAAAGAAGATGTAGTATGTATATATGTATGTATGTGTGTGTGTGTATGTGTGTGTATCATTCAGCCATAAAAAGGATGAAATCTTGCTATTTGCAACAACATGGATGGAGGTAGAGAGTATAATGCTAAGCAAAATGTCAGAGAAAGACAAATACCATATGATTTCACTCATATGTGGAATATAAGAAACAAAACAAACAAACAAAGGGGGAAAAAAGAGACAAACCTTAAAATAGACTCAACTCTAGAGAACAAACAGATGGTTACCAGAGGGGAAGTGGGCGGGGGATGGGTGAAATAGGTGAAGGGGATTAAGAGTACACGCATCGTGATGATGAGCACGGAGTAATGTATAGAATTGTTGCATCACTACATTGTACACCTGAAACTAATATGGCACTGTATGTTAATTACACTGAAAATTAAAAAACAAAACAAAACAATAAGTAACAAATATTGGTGAGGATGTGGAGACAAGGAACCCTTGTGCTCTGTCAGTGGGGATGTAAATTGGTGCAGCCACTATGGAAAACACAATGAAACTTCCTCAGAAAATTAAAAATAAAAATACCATGTGATCCACAATTCCACTGCTGGGTATTTATCCAAAGAAAATAAAAACATGAATTTGAAAACATATACCCACCTCTATGTTTAGTGCAGCATTATTTACAATGGCCAAGATACAGAAGTAACCTGAGTGTCCACTGATAGATGAATGGATAAAGAAGATGTAGCGTGTGTGCGTGTGTGTGTGTGTGTGTGTGTGTGAATGCATACACAAACATACCTACATGCATGTGGATACATGTGTATACATACACGTATATGTGTACAGGTATATGCATTTGTATACTAGCATATGTGTATGTACACATGTGCACAAATATACACAATGTAGTGTTACTCATAAAAAAGAATGAAATCTTGCCATTCGTGACAATGCAGATGGATCTAGAGGATATTATGCTAAATGAAATAAGTCAGACAGAAAAAGACTAGTAACCTACAATTTCACTTACACATGGAATCTAAAAAGCAAAACAAAACAAAAAACAGAAATAGACTCATAAATACAGAACACAAAGTGGTGGTTGCCAGAGAGAAGGAGGTGGGGGGACAGGTGAAATAGGTAAAGGGCAATAAGAGGTACAGTTTCTAATGGTAAAATAAATGATAAATGATAAAATAAATAAGTCATGAGGAAGCAAAGTACAGCACATAGTAAAAATATACAGCACATAGTAAAAAATATTATAGTAACTTTGTATAGTGACAAATGGTAACTATACTTCTTGTTTTGTAATATACATAATTGTTGGATCACTATGTTGTACACCTGAAATTAATATGTCGACTACACTTCAATTAAAAATAATAAGCTGCAAAAAGGTTCTAGAACAAGTAATATTTGAAGTTCAATGCAACTAGGAAGTTTTTTTAAATGGCCACGAAATATCACCAAAGAAATATTCAACTATAAAAACACTTTTTAGAAATCATACATATATTTTCATGTCTGAAGATAGGAAGAAAATAGGGGGAAAAAACCTCACCAAATACTCTCAATAGATTTGAATGTGCTCCTTTTTGTATATATTCCTTTTCCATATTTATCCCCATGTATACCTAATTATATGTAGGTCTAACCATTACGGAAACCTACCTTTGTGTTCTGCCCCACCCCTCAGCCACACATGTTATATGAGCTCTTTTCCAAACTGTTTCATAATCTTAATAGAAAAACTTTTAAATTCCCCTAAACCTGATAGCCCACAATCTGCTTAAAGCTCTCCTTACACCATTAAAAATCACTGCTATTTTTTCACCATTATAAGTGATATTACAATAAACATTTCTGTCTATAGTTCTTCCCTAATGGTTTATTTAAAATCAAACAGTATGAATACTTGTGCATATTCATAGGGTAATGAATGCCATGCTGTCTATTCCGGGCAAAATTGACTGCAAATTCATATATACCAGTTGAAATACAGTTGACACTTGAAAGACGCTGGTTTGAACTGTATGGGTCTATTTATATGGGGGTTTTTACAACACAGTAGTGTAAATGCACTTTCTCTTCCTCATGATTTTCTTTTTTTAAAAAAAATTTTTTTAACTTTTTTTAAATTTATTTTTGGGACAGAGAGAGACAGAGCATGAACGGGGGAGGGGCAGAGAGAGAGGGAGACACAGAATCGGAAGCAGGCTCCAGGCTCTGAGCCATCAGCCCAGAGCCTGACGTGGGGCTCGAACTCACGGACCGTGAGATCGTGACCTGAGCCGAAGTCGGACGCTCAACCGACTGAGCCACCCAGGCGCCCCTCCTCATGATTTTCTTAGCAACATTTTTTTCTCAGCTTACATTATTGTAAGGATACAGTATATAATACACAAAATGTGTGTTAATTGACCATATATGTTACTGGGAAGGCCTCCAGTTAATAGTAAACTATTAGTAGTTATGTTTTCGGAAGTTGAAAGTTATACGTGCATTTTCAACTGCACAGGGAGTTGGGACCCCTAGCCCCTGTGGTGTTCAAGGATCAACTGTGTATGTATATACACACATCAATTTTTCTACAACCATACCCACATTATGAACATCTAAAAATTTTATTTTTGTAAATAATTTTTAAAATTTGCGTTTCTACAATGACCATCAAGTTTAAATACTTTTCAATTAAGTTTCATTTCTTCATACAAACATTTATTGAGAATCTATTCTGTGCCAAATTCTGTGCTAGATACCAATGAGACAAAGACTAATTAGATGCAGTCTGTCTCTCTCTTCTAGGAACTTCCAGTTAGTTATACACAGAAAAGCAAAGAAATAAATTAAGTTCTATCAAACATTACAGGTATATGACAGCTACCTAATCCAAAGTCTTGACTAAAATAAAACACATTTTGCCTATACAATGTCAATTTATCTATCAGACCCTACAGTTTTTCTAATAAATTTCAAGAGTAGCCACTAATGTTTTGACAACAGCTTGCATAAAAATTTTCAAGTCTATTATTTTTGGGTTTTGTTGGTGGGAGTAGTGATAGTGGTGGTGGTATGTCCATGCTTTGTATTAATAGGTTTATCACTTTCATAGCACCCCACTTAGAAAAGTATCGGTTCTACAGAGTTTTAATAAGCAGAAATTTTCTTCGTTCCTGATGCTGAAAAAGTTAATCTTAGACCCTTATTTTGACCTTCAAATTTGTATTCATTTATATTTATTTATATACGCATAGAACATTTTATTTTAGATTCCTGACTTCCCCATATACATGAAGTGACCACGGCAACAGGCTCCATGTCCACTTTCCACCCATTTGTTAGAATGCCTGTTACAATATATTGTCTGTGGAACTCAAGCCTTTCCTCCCCACTCACTTTAGGATTGCCAGTTAATGAGTTCCAACCCAATCATCTCAATGGCGTGTAAAGTCAACAGGGCAGAGAGGGAGGAAAGAAGTGAGATATCCTTTTCTGGCTCCATGATTCAGGCAACATTTTTCCACTGAAAAATCAGTTAATGAGGCACCTGGGTGGCTCACTCAGTTGAGTCAGCTCAACCGTCAGCTCAGCTCATGATGTCAGCTCAGGTCATGATCTTGCGGTTTGTGAGTTTGAGCCCCATATCAGGCCCTGTGCTGACAGCTCAGAGCCTGGAGTCTGCTTCAGATTCTGTGTCTCCCTCTTTCTCTGCCCCTCCCCTACTCGTGCTCTGTCTTTCTCTCTCAAATATAAATAAACATGAAAAGAAAAGAAAAGTTATCAGGGCTTATGATAGTCTAGGCCCTATAATTAACTACACTGGAACTAACCCAAGAACTTGAGTACATCTGTAATATGGTTCTGCAAGAAAATATTTTCTGAGTTTCAAACAGCCAAATCATAAATGAGGTTTTAAAACACAACCTGTATCAACAGGAACCTGCATGTGTATTTGCATATATTGTATTACGGGTAAATTTCAGAGTTAGCTTATGTCATGAATAAATTACTGATCACTAACTTAAATTACTTCAGGCTGTTAGTTAACCAAATGTTATGTTACAGAGTAGATTTGACCCTAACAGAAAATAAGCAGAGTCAACAACTAAGGGACAGAATCACTTCATATACTGGTGGAAGATTTAGCAAAATATACAAACACACAAAATGTATTTATAAATGCTAGTTTAATAACTAAGGTGCTTTTATAATAGAAAAGGGAATGGACCTGCTTGTAATACAGAAAGAAAACAGAATTACCAATTACGTGAGAAGAAATCCCAGGAAAATAATCTTCTTTTGATCCCAACTGCACTGCTAAAATGTTAAGCCAAGCTGCTAGAATGTTAGAATATCCTGATTCCTCAATAACGCTGGCCGACATTAGCCAACTAGTCTCACTTCCATTTATTTACGAATTGCAGGATATAGACACACACATGATTTTTTTACAGAAATAGGTCTAAGGAGGAGGTTGAGATATGCATTTCTAACAAGTTTCCAGGTAATGTTGATCCTCTTGGCCCTGGCATCACACCTGGGGGGAACCAGTGCCCTGTCTAATCTCACTTTCCCCCATGGTTTTAACTATCACCTTTTCAGTGTGGCCTACAGTAACCCTCCTATCTAATCCTGCAATCTGTCTCCATCTCAGCACTCCCAACCTCTTAATCCTGCTCTGCTTTTTTTCTTTAATTCCTGTAACATTTGCAAACTTCTAACACATTAAACATTTTATTTGTCAGATTGTTTTAATTGTCTTCTTTCCACTGTTAGAATGTAAGATCTACCAGAAAAAAAGATCTTGTTTTGTTAACCAATATATTCAAAACTCCTACATATGTACTGGACATATAGTAGGTAAACAATAAATATTTGTTGAATAAATGACTGATAATACTCATCATCTCTAATTCAGATCTCTCCAACTCTTCACTTTTAATCTAAATGCCTACTCAGCATTACCACTTCAATGTCCTGTTAGTCTCAAATTCAACTTATTGAAAACAGAACTCAATACCTTCCCTTACTAACTTGTTCTTCCTCCTTTTCTTCTTGACTTAATTAGTAGCATTGTGATCCATCCAGTTTCCTTCCTATTTAAAATTCTTCACTAGTACTCCATCAGCTAGGTATGAGATTCAAGCTCCTTAGCATAGCTTATACAATGTCTTTCCTGTCTGATCCATTTTACTTCTCCAATACTGTTTTTCTCCTGCTGCTTCTATCCTCAACTACTACATATTATAGTCCAGCAATGCCTAATTTCTTACTTTCTCTGAACATACCCTGTTTTTATCATGCCTTTCTACTTGCTGGTCAATGTATTTGGAATTCTCTAATGTCTCATCAATAATTCAAAAATCAGCTTAGATCCAATAATTGCCAAGAAACATTCCCACCAAAAGAAATTCCTCCCCACAAAATATTCTTACTTAATGCTATTTCTAGTGCATAATTCTATAATTGCATATGTCTCACCAAATTATAGTTTGTTTACATGTTACACCTAAACAATTCGTAAAAATAACTAGTTTATATTCATTTTATATCCTTCAGTTTCTAGCACATGACAGATATTCCTTAACATTACCTGAATCATATAAAGAATACTTCAAAAGTCAGTTACACTATAAAAAATAGTCAATACAAAATTACCGTTCTCTGAAAACTGCCAAGGCTTACACAACTTGTGTTAAAAACTCCACTCAAAACAAACAAACAAACAAAAAAACAAAAAAACTCCCCTCAGATAAATTTGGTCTCAAATTTCTCAGAGGACTGAACTATCCAGTGTCTTGGTCTGGCTACCTGAATTCATGATCATAAACCATATAAAGTACTTACAAAATGTGTACTAACACGTGTTTGCCACATGTCCACTTGTTTTGGTGTAAGATCAGGAATTGACAAGCCTAATCTGGAAGCCAAAGCTTCAACGTAGCCTGCAAGTCTTTAAAAAAACAGAAGGACAGAATATGAGTTTTTAAAGAGACACACAAATGTCCTCAAGATAATGAACTAGTTACTACAAAAGGAAACAAGATAATTTCACACCTGTAACTGGCACTCCAGAAATGGTGTAAATGTTTTTTACAACTTCCATTTTTATTGTGCATAAATATATCCAACTTAAAAATATTTAGTATTAATATATTCGATACACAGGTAAACACGTTGCCTTAGAGCAATTATTCTCCACAATTACTTTAAAAAGACCAATTCAAAGTATATAAAAAATTTTTGCAGCAATTAACAGTTATGCGCTTATTCCAAATTCAAAGCAAAGCACTTTAACATATGATATAAATTAATAACTGTCACCAGAAAGCAAAAATTTCCAAAATTTATCAGATTGATATACTTGAATTTTCAAGGCCATCTCAAGTATTTATCAGATACAAACTTACTTTATGAACTGTAATAAAAAAAGAATTGCCAACTAATCTATGCATACATCAATTATAAGATGGATCCCAAGAGCAGATATATTAAGTTCTAAAAAAAACTTAATCTGTATATCTAAGAATCAATAAAATGTAGTATCTGTTATTTAATGATATTTTTTAAAGGCAGAGGAGAAATAGTTCTTAAATATAAAGACTCCCAACAAAATCTTTATCTCTTAGCAAAAAGAACTGTTTCATGATGCAATCTAAAATTAAACGGCTTTTGGGGCGCCTGGGTGGCGCAGTCGGTTAAGCGTCCGACTTCAGCCAGGTCACGATCTCGCGGTCCGTGAGTTCAAGCCCCGCGTCGGGCTCTGGGCTGATGGCTCAGAGCCTGGAGCCTGTTTCCGATTCTGTGTCTCCCTCTCTCTCTGCCCCTCCCCTGTTCATGCTCTGTCTCTCTCTGTCCCAAAAATAAATAAACGTTGGGAAAAAAATAAATAAATAAATAAATAAATAAATAAATAAATAAAATTAAACGGCTTTAAATTCTATTAGATCATTTGGTTGTATTAACTATAAAAAGCTATCACAGTAGCTATAATATTACCATTTTTAACATTAACGTTGGAAATGGAGAAGTGGAACGTTTAAGGAGTGATATCATTATAAATTAATGTCGCAAATCCCAGGAATATAAAATTTCTGCCTTGGCCCAGAAGCAAAGAAACTGTGTTTAACAGTAGCTTTGGCCCCAAACTCCAGTACAGAAGTCTAATAGACAGGGTCAGATCACTTAGGAAGCTGCCTTTTCCGAGATTATAGGGCTAAGTAGACTACCACTAGACCCAAATCCAAATCTCAAAACTGACCACTCTAATACATGAAGAAAGGAAGAAATAGAGCCAAAGACTGGGCAAAAGAGAGTATCTTTATCACAGTAGTTAATGTCACCTTAGTCTAATTTATAATTTCCAGGCTTCCTCAAGCTCAAGAGGAAGCCCAGGCCACGTGTTGCTCAGAAGAGAGAATGGAAAGAGAGAAAGGAAAAGCTGGCCTTTTCTAAGTAGACATCCTCACTTTGTTTCATCATTCCTGCCACACGAAATAAAGGGAGCGAAAACTGGCCAAACCCTGTAATGCTCTGGCCATTCCCACATATGCTCCAGCCATCATGCCTTTTGAAAGTTCCTCTCTCCGGAAAACATGCCCAGTCAGTATCCTCACATTTGAGCCGTATCTTTTACCTTTGGGCTCAGTGGGAGAAGGGTGGGGTGAAATAATGATGGGGATTCTTGCTATTAATCCTGCCTCACCTTGGAAATGTCTAAAAAAGACATATAAATACCTCAGTAAATGAAAATTAAACTCTGCTTACATTGTGGTCATCTTAGAAAACTTTTTTGCATGTATCAATCTCTTGAAAGGATTTTAAACACAAATTCCAGGTCCCTAATTCTGAAGTGCAACCCAGGCATTCAATATTTGATGTACACCAAAGATTTAGCACCACTCATTTAGAAAAAATAAATTAAAGCGTTAGTTTGAAAACACACCCAATAAATATCCCATTTCTTAATTCTTCTCAATTAAAGAATGGAGAAGAGAAAGAGAACAAGGTCAGTACACACATGCACAAATGAATGAATAAATGGACCTACCCGAGTCCAGCTAAATCTGACACAAGATTTCCCAAAGCAGCAGCTAAAAAATTGAGAAGTGGATAAGTGAATTGTTATCTGGAAATCAGAAAAATCCTTATAATACATCACTGTCTCATCAATAAAGCACTGATCTGGAAGAGTTATCACAGCTTCTGAAACCACAACAACTATATCCAAAGTAACTCACTGGATAGCTCTGAGTCAAGATTTCAAAATAGAATACAAGTCTTTCGAGATTACAGTGCTGTACTTCCATCAAGTAGTGGGTTTTTTTCTGTTGTGGCAGCCAGTTTCCATTCTGGTGTCAATACCCATACAATATTTTGTAGTTTTATCTTTCATTATATTTAAGGAAATTTGGATATTTGGAAGTTAGAGTAAAAGTTTTATGCATAGGTCTGAAATTCAAGAAAATCATATAGAGAAGAAATGTCTCTTTTATTAACTCATCTACTTCATACTTTTCTACATAATAAACACACCACTGAACCATTCCCAAATTTCACCATCATAAAAAATAGAGTAGTAACTGGGGGAAAGAAGGTAATAGAACCAAATTAGATTTTTAAACTTGTATTTCCTTCTTTGATTTTTCTACCCTTAAAAATAAATAACAGTAGAAATAAGGGTAAAAAGGTTTTAGGATAACACTGAATTAAGAGAAAAACTTATTGGGGCACCTGGGTGGCTCAACTGGTTAGGTGGGAGACTTGATTTCAGCTCAGGTCATGATCTCAGAGTTCGTGAGATCGAGACCCACATCAGGCTCTGTGTTCACAGCTTGGAGCCTGCTTTGGATCCTCTGTCTCCTTCTCTGCCCCTCCCCCACTCATGCTCACTCGCTCTTTCAAAAATTAAAAAACATTTTTCAAAAAATTTTTAAAAAAGAGAAAAACTTATTTTAACATAGTCAGTACAGCACTATTACCCATTAGCTAACATAAAGTACCTAAAATTTCTCAGGAGAAGTGCAACATATACAAAATTAAGAATCAGAAGAATAGGATTAAGGAGATAAACTAATAGACATCTCAATGAGTAAACTTATTCAGATTAAGTATCTTCTTCTAAACCTAACCTACTGAAATGTTTTATAAGTATACAGACAATGGAATAATAACATTAATATTATTAAATACCTGCCATAGTTGAAATTCCCAAAATAATTCCAATAGACATCTCAATATGGGTGCCCTGAAAAATGATTACGAAGAAATTAATCTTAAACATTAATGAAGTGGCTACAAAAAATAGCAAAGTAGTAATAAAAAGTTAAAATAGTTAAACATGTTATTGCCACAAAATTATATACATAAAATATGCAAAAAATATTCACATATAATATAGTAATGCACCTAACTATTAAATATATGCATTCATACAAAAATAACATCGATATCATTTTATTCATTAAAATTAGGCTTTCATAGAAATAAACAATAGCAACAAATACAATTATAATATAAAGAGCAATATAATCCATAATTAAAGATCTAGAATTTATATTTTCCAACCACAAAGAAAGATGCTTTAAACCTCTTGGAATACAGGGGCATCTGGGTGGCACAGTTGGTTTAACATCCAACTCTTGATTTCAGCTCAGGTCATGATCTCACGGTTTTTGAGTTCAAGTCCCACACTGAGCTCTGCGCTGACAGCATGAAGCCTGCTTGGAATTCTCTCTCTCACTCTCTCTCTGCCCCTCCCCCATGTGTGTGTGCGCGCGCACGCGCTCTCTCTCTCTCTCTCTCTCTCTCTCTCAAAATATAAATAAACAAACAAACCTACCTCTTGGAACACAAAGAAGCCCAACTCACCTAATTTTAAATTCTGAATGATACATCTATATAGATATCATTGTTATTTAGTCTATCAAAAACAGAGTAAAAAACTAGCTTCTAGGGAACCAAGAGATCACAGACTTCAAAAATTACCTTTATAACCACTTTGTTCTTTAACCATTCAGTAGTGAGACTATCTATGGTTCATTTATAAGCAACAACAGCTTCTTGTACAATAGACAGAGCCGCAGCAAAACAAAAGGCTCTAGCTCTATTGCATTTGCACTGAATTTATTGAGAGTTTCAGACGTTCCACATCCATCCCATTCTGAAGACAAGAAGGACTCATATTTTTACTTCCATTTTAAACAGAAGAAACTGAAATGAAAAAGATTAAACTATTCTAATGGGTTATTACATAGAATAAAGAAGAAGTCCTATGGTCTATTGTGCTAATTCCATTCTAATACTTGGGCAATGCTGCCGTAAGTAGACTTAGGTTTCCTCCTGAATACCGATGCTTGAACATTTCTAATAATTTTTTAATGTTTATTTATATTTTAGAAAGAGAGCGAGAGAGAGAGAGACCACAAGCAGTGGAGGGGGAGAGGGAGACACAGAATCCGAAGTAGGCTCCAGGCTCCAAGCTGTGGCACAGAGTCCCGACGCGGGGCTCAAACTCACGAGCTCAACTCAAAACAGAAGGGGTGAAAGAAAGAACTTACTGCAACAATCATAATTGCATTATCCAAAAAGCCAAACCCTATGAAAGGTATCGCATTGTGGATGAATACTGAAAAACACCAAAAAGAGAAAATATATGTTAAGATTTCTATCACTTAAAATGATAAAAACAGACCATATGACTAAAGTCTCCTAAATAGATCTGATAACCTTTGAAATTTGCTTTTCATTCCCCACAGCCAAAAGATTCTGCTCCTGCAGTAAGTTCAACTACTTCGTAGAAGCTATACTAGGGAAAAACACCAAAATTAAAAACGCTGTTACATGTAAAAATAATTGTGTTAGACTTCTGGGTTGTTTTCTTACTAGCTACAAAGTACATACAGTTAATGGCGGAACAAATAAGTAAATATATATTACGAGTACCATGTTTTACCTGTTTAATTGCTATTAATATCAATCTACTTCTTATATTGTAAAGACTGATATCATAAAATTAAGCTCCATATTAGACATAATAAAAAATACCCTGAATCAAATTTCATGGAAACTATATGGTCGCTTTTACTCACGGAACAGTTTTTTGGACAAATATGATAAAAATGTTACTACCTCATCTATATTAGCCATCTATATCCAGTCTTGTCCCCCCTCACATCATCAGTATCCCTGAAAGCTTTCACAAACTATAAACAAACTATTTGATTTAAATCAAAATGTAATTTGATCTCTTCCTAACAAAAGCATACCTTACCTTATCTATCTAACATATAATCTGAAAGACCTGACATAATAGAAGTGTAACTAGGAAGAACTGATACCTATATATTTTCTATACATTCAGCCTCATTTTTTTTTTCATATTTGCATCTTCAGCATGTTGCAGAATGCCTAGTGCATAGCAGATACTCAATGAACATTAGTTAATTAAGTTGAGGACCACTAACCTGGAAAGGAAGAGAATTCCATATTAAGAGAATTGAAGGCAAACTGTGAAATAGATTAAAAGCTGGAATAGTTAAAAGATTTTATTCTAATTCATCTATAAAATTGCCAAGATATAGTCAACATCAATTCAACTAAGGACTTTTTTAGATAAACATCAAAACTGTGAATTTTATACCATATCCAAAAAATAGTCCCTTAAAACAATTGGTGGTATGTGTTCAGTGACTTTAGAGTGTTTTTCTTCTTTTAATGTAGTTAAGTCCACAGAAAGTATAATTAAAATATAATTCAGAAGTTATGAAAGTTTGATATTGCTACAGTCAGTTCTGCACCAACCCAGGGAAGGCTAATAAGCAGTGAACAGAACAAAACAAAAAATGCCTCTACCCAAAACAACTATCGAATACTAACATCACAAGAAAAGGTTGTATATACATCCCAGATCATTTCAGATTTCTTTTTGCTATCAAGTAAGAAAGTTCAAGATAAAAAGCAACATTTTTTAATTACAAGGAATATTATTTTAAAAGTTATTAAAGATGATAAAAAATCAAATAGTGTATTAATGAAATGGGATTCTTCAATTAAAGAGTCTAACCTTAGCTCTTTGACTTTTTGCCCAAGTCTAGTTACTTAACTACTAGACATCCAAACTTCTGTAATAAGCAACTCGGAAATATAAAATATATCATGTTTTTATGCTTAGACCTAAATAAATGTGTCTATATATTAAAATTTACTTTCAACACAAAGGAAAAAATACAATTTTCATGTTGTTAAGTAAACATGTACTGGCCACTTCACTGGGCATGAGATACAAAGATAAATAAGATTTGGTTACCAGCCTTCAAAAAGTTTGGGTATGGTAACACACCATACAAACGGCTCATTTCAATATGACAAAAAAACTGGTAACAGTATTATACGGTGCTTGGATACAAACTGCATGAACCTAGGCTAGGAGAATCACAAAAAATTACCTGGGGGAAAAAAGTCTTAAAGAATTCTTAAATGTTTTGGTATTTGGGAAAAGTTACTTATTTCTAATATAAATTGTATTCTACCTCTGAGAGAAAAAGAACTGGCTATTAATTTTTAAAAGTTATGTAAGTTTACTCTCCAGTATGTAATGATCTCCTATTAATTTGTGATTTCTTCAACTTCCTTTGGAAAATACTATTCTATAACAGCAAATCACATCTAATATTTAGCTTTCACTTACAATCTACTCAAATTTGCTGCACCATTAAAACATTCTCTTCTTTCATTGTCTCTATAATAAGATCCCAAACTGTTTTACATTATGTCAGTGTTAGCCTTGACTATTTAATTCCTATCATAACAGTAAAGAAAGCACACCAGCACCACTTACAAGCTTCTTCTTCGTGGCAGTGTTAAACGAACTTAACTTTCTTCATCATTACAAACAGCACGCCGTAAGTATTTTCTCCACCAGAGAACAGTTCTACCCAGCCCTGAGCTCAGACTTTCAACTTCTGAAATTACCCAACTTAAATCCAAACTAAAGTAAACATATCCTTTTTACTGGGAATTAAGGAAACCTTACCATAAGTATAATTTTATTTCTACATGGTAACTACAGTTTAACAATGTTAGATACTGTTACAAATGTCGAAATTCCATAACATTGTAATATGTCTTAAACCAAGTTTATAAACTTTTTGTTTCAGCATGATAAATAAGATAATCTACTCTCTCTGGAAAAATTAAATTTACTGACTCTTCTATACTATCAGTGAAATACAGTTATTTCAAGTCTAAAAGACAGATGTGCAAATATTTAACAATTATAGAACCATTACCATATCTCAGCTGTCCTGGTGTGGGTGGTGGTGCTTCCAATTTTTCTAAAGGGGAAAAAAAAGGGTTTAGGTCAAGAATTAGTTACCATAGCATGAGTTCTTTTTTATTACAGTGAAGAAAATACAAGCAGATTTACAAAGTGGGAGAATATCAGAGTTTATTCATACATTTTTGTAGGATAACAGACCAAAGTTATCCATACAGAAAATAATACTTGGTATGGATTACATCACAAGGCTAGAAAACAAAACTGAACTTTAGTTACAAGTCTACCATGGACCCCATGGCCTTGGGTAATCATTAGCTTTTCATTTTTCTTTTTTTTTTAAATCTTTACATCTATATAATGGGCCTGATTAGTTACAGTAAAAACAAAACAAAACAAAAAAACCCACCAAAAACACAAAAAACAAAAACCTTTGAAATATAGTTACCCTTCTTTAAGATGGCAATGATAGATGTCTTAAGAAATATATATACAAACAAACATTGATAGCAGAAAAAAGAATATTCAAATAGACCTAAATATCCTTTAAAAAACAGAAAATAATATTTTTAAAGCAATGTATTTCAACAATGACTTCACCGGATTGTGCTCTGTTCCTTAATCTCCCTTGATAATATAACGAAATATTTTGAGTTTTGGAACCTATACTATTGGATAATATAGAATATTCTACACAATAAAAAGTAGAGTGCTAGTCAAAATCACAAGTAACAATAAACTATTTATAATATATATCATAATAAACACACCAAGTTTTCCCAAAGTAATATCTTTAACTGCCATCATTAAATCTAAAAATTAACGATTATTATAAAGAAGCAACATACCTAATCTCGTAACAATAACCATCTCACCATTTGTGTAAGTACAAGAGTGAGCTCTGGTAAAATGGCAGAGAACTGTACTTTACCCTCCTCCTCCAGTCCAAAAAAATTAACACCCACACCATGGATCGCACTGCTCTAAAGGTTTAGTACAACCAGACTGTCCAAGGAAACACATTACAAACTGGATATATATTTTCTAAAATCTTTATTTATACTCTGTGACAACATAAGAAGTGAAGAATTTAGCTTTATAAAAAGTAAAAAGCAAATGTATCTCCATTGATAAACTATGTAAAAAAGTATTGTCCATATTTGTGAATGGTATTTTACTAAAAGTGCATACAGTACCAAAATGGTTTTACAATAAGTATGCTAAAACTTTGAGTTTAATCAATGATCATATTATCCAGACAGTTCTAAGAATGCAAGTTTAAGTTTTGTTTTCCCCTTTTTAGAAGAGTTATGAAATGAAGATATACTAATCTTTGCAGAATTTCCCATCTGATTAAAGTATATTCGCTGTCTGTTGACTAACACCATTACCTCAAGATCTATTTTGAAAGCATGCAAATGGTTTTCCAAATTTTAACAAGGAACATAGGTTACTATGTACTCCAGAGTTTTCTGCTGAAGTAAACATGCAAAAGTGGTTACATACCAGAACTATTTGCTAGATGCATTACTCTCATCATCACTACAGTTCTGACACTGTGAGGAGAAGTCCTTGTCAGTTGACTGGAACATCTTGAAATACCTAAAAATTCAACAAGCAGGACTTTCCCAATAGAATGAGAGTATACAGAGTCCTTGCTTTTACTTCTTCAAATTCCCTACATCTTCATGTTGAGCAAAATATTTAAAATATTTTACAACTCCTAAGAAGAAAGGGTAAGAGGTAGGCAAATGTATAATGTGCAGCAAAGAGCAAACAATCAAATAATATAATCAATATTCCTCATCTCTCTTTCCTATTACACATACGGATTAAAAAACTAAAACTAATGAAAAAATAACTTTTTTAAAGACGGAGAAAGAGAAAGAAATATAAAGTAAAGGAGACAGAGCAGGAAGGAAAACCACTGGCACAGAGATTCAAGTAAAATCAAAGCAGAGACTTTGCCTCCTGCTTCACAAAGAACCTAATAAGCAGCAAGAGGAAACATGAAAGGAACATTTCCTAGAAAGTGGAAATTTTATTGGAAAGTATCTGTCAAAAGTGTTTTAAGCCATAAGTTGATCATTTTGAGGACTTTGACGCTGTTTATTACCTTATTATGTTAACTAAATCAAAACTATATATATATCAGAAGTGAAAAACATTAGAGGTTCAATGCACAACAGAACTCAATCTTGGAAGTAAGCCCACGCAATCTTATACAGATTTAAACTCTACTGGCTGTGGGGCGCCTGGGTGGCTCAGTCGGTTAAACACCCACCTCCTCATCTCCACTCAGGTCATGATCTCACGGTTCCTGGGATCCAGCCCCACATTGGGTTCTGTGCTGACAGTGCGAAGCCTGCTTGGGATTCTCTCCCTCTCCTTCTCTCTCTACCCATCTCCCACCCTCTGTCTCTTGAAACAAACTTAAAAAAAAAAAACACACCAAAAAACTGTAGTCGCTGCTAACATAATCTCCTTCAAAACAGTCACAATAAACCCCAGAAGCATTTCCCTTCCTTTTATGTATCTGCTGTAAAATTTATCTTTTTTTTTTTTTTTGGGAAAAGCCTGGGTGTGTGATGGGTTAAGCGTCAAACTACAATGAGTCCTGATTCCAGCAGTCCCTGAGTTGAGCCAGCGTCGTGAGTGAGGATGGCTCAGAGCCTGGGGAGCCTATATTTCGATTGTCTCCCTCTCTCTCTGCCCCTCCCCCATTCATGCTCTGTCTCTCTGTCCCCCAAAAAAAGTAAATAAGCGTTGAAAAAAAAAATTAAAAAAAAAAAATTATCTTTTTTTTATTAAAAAAAATTTTTTTAATGTTTTTTTATTTTTGGGAGAAAATTTAGACAGAATCTCAGTGGTTGAAAGGCAGAGAACACAAGCAGAAGCGGCCTTGACTCTGACTTCATCAGCACAAACCCGGCAACAGCTGGTCATGACCTGAGCTTCTTCCAGGGCCTCTCAACAACCACCCAGGCACCCAAGTACTGAGGCACTGAGTGGCTGGTTCGGTCAGTTAAGCAATTGACCCTTGATTTTGGCTCAGGTCGTGATCTCACGGTTTGTGAGATTGAGCTGGTTTGTGAGATTGAGCCCCACTGTGGGCTCCGTGCTGAGAGCAGCACAGAGCCTGCTTAGGATTCTCTCTCTCCCTCTCTCTCTGTCCCACCCCCTGCTCGCACTCTCTCTCATTCTCTCTCTCTCAAAATAAATAAATAAACTTGAGAATTTTCTTTTGACATATAGTAAACTATCGACACTTACATTGGAAATATATTCTAATCTAATGTTTCATTAAGAAGACTTTGGAGTTAGAAAAACCTAGTTCTTTCAGTTTGGGTGTGTATGTGTGTGTGTGAATGTATGTGTGTGTGTGCAATATACACCATTACTTTTTTCTTTTTCTAAATATCTTGAAATAATAAGATAATCATTAACACTAGACTGTATTTTACCATATCATATTTTCCAGTGATTTTAACTTAAAAAATTCTGGTTCTACTTCCACTACTGGCTTCCTAATCTCCTGTGAGACCAATTTTCCTGCATAGAATATCTATAAACTATAAACAAATATGTAATAAATATATAACTACCTAAAAGCACTAGAAAATGTCCAAAAACAGGTTGATTCTGGAAAGGAATCAACACTTAGAAAAAGGAACGGAACTAAGTGAATTAGCTGCTTATTGTAGCTTTTGGCCTAAGGGCAGACCTCACCCACAATATTGGGGCAACTAAAACTCCAACAAAGTATCTTCAGTCTTTCTGGCCTGCAGAAGCAGTGGCCAGGGTGCAAGGTAGCCAAAGCCACTAGAAAGTGAAAGGGGAATCCTGGAAATGATAGAGACCGAAAGGAGGAGGAGCCCTAAATTCTGTATATACAGTCAGTTCAAATACATGGCTGACCTGTGAACCACACATGTGTGGTAAAAACCAAAACAAATCTCAGCTAAGGGTAAAATAACTGAAGATTTGAGCTGTACACCAAGATACAGTTTGTAGTATGAGCCTAACCATCAACTGCCTGCTAAAACAAGTAAAGAAAAATCAGTCTCTTTTAGAAGAATAAAGCACAATCCAGAGTCTCTACAACATGATAATTGCAGCAGTGACTAAGATATAATCTAAAATGCTTCACAAACAAAGAAACAGGACAACATGACCCATCTTCAGGAGAAAAAAACAATAGACGAAGATAAATTCTGAAGTGACTCAAATGTTAGAAGTAGCAGACAAGGTCTAATAAAGTAGCAATTAAAATTATATTCAAAAACATAAATGAAAACATAGTCAAATAGAAACTATAAAAAGAACCAAACTCATATGAAAATTATCTGAAATCTTAAAATTAATTGGATAGGCTTAAAAAGCAGAATGAAGAACGAACATGATAGACCAATAAAAATTATTCATCTGAAGAACAGAAAATAAAAGGATTGAGAAATAACAAATCAGTCTCAGAGACTTGTGGCTAAATATCAAAAAGTCAAAACATGTATAACTGGAGTTCCAGAAAGCAAGAAGAAAAAAAACAAAAAAAAAAATGTTTGAACAAATAATGTCTAATAATTTCCCAAATTTGGTGGAAGACAAAAATTTCAAGAGTCATGAAAGTTCAGTGAACCCCTAGGAGAATAAACATGAAGAAAATCAATGATAAAAAAGAATCTTATATAGTCACAAAAAAATGACACGTTCACTAAAGGAAAACAATGATTTACATGATTCAAGAAGGGGGAAAAAAAAGCTATCGGCCATTATTCTGTATCCAGAAAGATTTTCCTTCAAGAATGAAGGCAAATGTATTTCAGAAAAACTAAAACTATGAGAATATGTTGCCAGCCAACCTGCAATATAGGAAATGTGAGAGCAAGTTCTTCAGACTGAAGGGAAACGCCAGTTGGGCAGTAGGATCTTTAGGAAAGGATGAAGAGTATCAGAAATGGTTATATAAAAAACTACTTGTTCCCTGGTAATTTAATTTAGGTAGACCTGACTACCTATAGAAAAAACTGTAACTCTGCCTTATGGAGTTTATAACATACG